ACACCCGATTCTGTTTGTCACAGCTGTAAAATTAATGCATTTATCAATCACTATTATTGATTGAATAATTTTTTTTTACGTTTCTCACAATTATGAATGTCTAAGACGTACCCTGTAAGCTTCTTTAACGCCACCATTGTCAGCTATATTTTCACCTTGCGTAAGTTTACCATTAACCTAAAGTGAAGAAGTTGTAATTAAACGATACAAAATAATTAGATGAAAATATGATCTAATAATTTTCGCTATCCTTATACCGCGATGATTTGTGAGAAGAACCACAAATACTTTTTATCTCAATTGTTTTAAACCATTATGCTCACTAATTATATGAGGTATTCATAAATTGATGGAATTAACAAGAAAATGCTAAAGAGTTACTGTATGAAAAAACGAAACTAGAATCAGTCGTACGAGTAAACGTGTGTATATATATACGCCAAGTACGTCAGAATAAAAGTATTTCAGTAACACAGTTACTTCATAAAATGATTCCCCACTTTACCTTATAATCCGTGTTTGGTACCACATATGAACTGTACTGATTAATTATACATTCCTTCCGTTTAGCGAATCCATTGTATGAATCCGCATTCCACCAATTTAATAAATTACCTTGTTTATCATACTGACTTCCTAAATATTTTTAAGTCAAACAAAGTTCTTTTTGCAAAAGATAATAGATACGATTACTTGATAATAATTTCAATGTACTTTAATTTCAAATTTGAAAATCGAATATCAAAAAATAAATTTAATATTATCAGGAAGTACGAAAGCAAGAAAGAAAGGGTGAAGGGGTAATTAGATTCTGATCATAACACCTTGATCATCGAATCCATGCGTAATTTCATGTCCTATTACTGCACCTATTGCACCGTAATTTACCATTCTGGAAAAAATTTAATTAATCATTATTACAAACAAATTCCAAAATTAAAATTATTCCAAAATTTAATCTCGTTACACTGGCAGTGATAAACTGCTTGAACAATGCTTCCTCAAATTTAAGAAATTGAAATATTTGAACGAAAATAATGTATCATAAACAATCCAGTAATTGGGAAGAAATTTTGTGTTTGAGAAAGAGTAAAGAAAAAAATAAACAAACTTTAGATATGAACCACTAAAGAATGGCGGCTTGAGAATTCCTGCAGGGAATGCTAAAATACATTATGCTGATTTTTTAAGAAAAAATTTTTTTCGAAATATTGTCAACGAAAGCTATTAATTAGTGAGGATATTCGACCAACAATTAGCTGGTCACAATAAGCATTCAATGAAAAATTCTAACAATTTAGATAAACAATTATTTTTTTATCAACAATAACTGAAATTGAAAGATGTTTTGAAGGAGAAAACTATCGAAACTATAACAGGAGTATAAAGAGTTAAGGACAAATGATGGATATTTCATCAAGATTTAAAAAAATTAAACATTAACTTACTCAAGGCATTCTTTTCCGGTGAATAGAATGCATTGACAACAGCTGGACTTACTTCGAACTCATTCTTATCGAATAATTCCTTCATGCGCAAAAAATCCTTTTCCTGCGACCACATAACTACTTTTCTCAGCAAATCGAAATATGAGTCCTCAGCCGTAAAATTTAACTGCAAACATTCCAGAAGTGTTGTGCAACTATCTTCGCCTGATAATTATTTATCGCTAGATTTTAAAACACTTCCTACAGCTTCCAAATTTATAGAGATCAAATTATTGATAAATAGGTCAATTGTCAGTTAAAACGAAGAAATTAATCTAGAAGAACTTGCTGCAAGTGTGTGTTCCCTTTTTTTTCAGATGATTTAAGAAATAACCATTTGTTTTGTTTTTCCTGTTTTCTGATCATTTATACCACACAACAAATATGCTAAGGTAAACTTTTTAATAACTTTAACAACTTTTATCAACACTATTTGTCGAAAAATTCCGAAAGTCATAACGCGAAATTGAAGCTATGAAGAAGAGAATATACTGCTGCTACATTGTATTGCATATGCGCCCATTGCGCCTATGTGCTCTATTAAACCTTTAATTGTGATCATAGATCTGACCTCAGACTTTTGGATATCTCTACTCCAGGAAAAAGAAGGTCCTGAGCGCCAAACCATTTTGTAAAGATGCGTTTCAACAGGTCGGTGGTGGGTTAGAGGATATCGGGTGGTATTTGGTCCATGGTTTCCTCTTTTGTTCCTATTGATATTGCCATTGAATTTGTTTTATTCATATTGTGATTGTTGAATTCGTTTCTGTATTACCA